AGTGGATTTCAAAGGGCACATGCTGGAAGATAACTCGAAAGTTAACATGCTTCGATTTAAATTAAGTTACAACACCTCTAGTCAAATCAAATCATTTCAGTGGTAGGACTTCCCATGACAGGGAAGGCTGCTGGGCTGCCAAGTCTGAGGGTTTTGCTAACCTAACACCAGGTGGCTACCAGGGGATTCTCACCATTAGCCTGCATACCTAAGGCTGCTTCTCTCCACAGCACCTTCCTAGTCCACATTAGAAGCTATGCTGCTGATGGCAACCAGACAGCTGCTGGTTACTAGCTATCACTTTGACAGCTATTGCTTAGGTAGCTTCCTCTCTGTTAGTCCTGGAGCCACGTTCACCCCTACGGACCTAAGGTATAATATGCATCCATGTGGTCATTAAGGGGTAGGGAATCTCTCCTCTTTAAAGCCTGGAGCTCCGCTGGTGGAGGCTGCTTGGGAAAAGCACTGAATCAGCACACCTCTTCCTGCGTTGGCACTACCCAGCTTTTGGAAATGTGCCAGCTGACTCCAGGTCCCTAGTGGGAACAGGGATTGCAGATGGTTTTTGCCAATGCACCCCCATTCCAGGGAGCATTACTGCCTCGGGGTGGTGGGCTACCAACCTGAGTGAATCCAGCCCTTGGTCTGTAAGAAGAAATGAGGTAGAAACAGCCTCCCTGTTCTACTCCCTCCTGTACATTCCATATAGACACCAATCAGTTACAAGGTTCGCACAGCTGGAAACGGCAGATGGAATGTTGCTCTTACCTCGCTCTCTCTCTCACTGGCAGAGGCAGGGGTAGAAGTGTGCCTGAAACACAAGCACTTACACAAAGTTAATATAGAGATAGCAAGTGGGTCAGAGGTCATGCTTGGCTTCACATTGGCTCTTTCACAACAAGGGTCAGATGAGTGGGATGGGCAGGAGGTGCAGAGTCCCAAGTCCTGCTCGGAGTGGGATTTGGTAATAAAGGGTCAGTCCAGCTGAGACTAGATCCTGAGCCTTTACCTAGTGTTTGCTTCATACCCTACCCCCCATTCCCACTGAGCACCTATGCAAACAGCAGCTATATTCTCCTTTTCTTACACTATGTATTTTTGTATTTCTAATGAAAAGTCAGTTTTCATTTAATTTCATTTCATTTCTCTATGAGCTGAGGGGTGAAAACATTATCTACTATCTTTTCTTCTCTCACATATGGAAAAAGCAAAGAGAGTTCATTTAAAAACAAGACCCAATTAATAAGCACATCATAGTACTATTTACCTCTGTTGTCACTTATAAGCTCAAAGCGGTTTACAACCAGAGGATAAGTATCATTATCTCATTTGACAGACAGTGAGGGAAACTGAGACAGAGATTTGTAAAGTGACTTGATTAAGGTCCTGTAATTCTGTCAAAATTACTTCTTGATGGAGATTGCGTTTTAAACAAAAGCAAGGCCCATGTCCTCAAAGTATGGATTTCATTGGGAATTTGGCACCTCAATACGAGTAATGGGAAAATATTTGTGGATCTGGGTCTAAGTGTCTGCTTTCCTTGAAAAATTTCAATTTTTCATTTGAAAACTGAAAAATTCTGACCAACCCCCTGATTTTATTCATTTTGACAAAAAGTTAAAATTTTCCAGGGGGAAGGAGAGAACATGGTCCAAGCAGCTCTAAGGCTAGTTCTAGAGTCACTCTTGGAACAAAGATTTTCTGATTCCGTTTCTTCTGCTTTAAGCACTTGATTACATTTCTTGGTCTAAGTAGGAAGGACAGACCACAGATACAAATGGCTAGAAGTTCTCATTTATTTTAATTATACATTTGACAATCACTCAAAAACCAAAACATACAAACATCCGTTACCATCTGGCTTTTCATTGTACAGCTGGCACAGTGGAATGACATTATAGAAAAATAGTACAAGGCACGTTGTAGAGATTAAACAAGATGCAGAACTACAAAAGGGCTTGTCTTCACTGCAGCATTAGATCAAGATAATTTGAATGTTGCCCCTAACTTGACTCCCATGCACGTGCAAAAATCTCTACCTCAGGTTAACTGGTGCTTTAAACTCAAGTTAGCTGGCCCATCGGAGGTGTAGGTAGAAGCTCAAGTGCTGCTGGGTCTAATAATGCAATCGAGACATAGCTACACTGTACTGCTAACACAAACACACTGTGCTGTTTGAGGGTTATTTTGCTGTGTGGCCCTCTCACTTCAGCTGAGTGAGCTCTGCAGTAAAGACAAGCTCTAAGATTGTTCCTGGGCCTTTTTGCACTCTTGGTTATGGGTTGCGCGATTGCCAACAGTCTATGTGATTGTTTACTTTGCTTGAACAACTCAGCAGTTACACAAAAAGCAGCCTCTCGGCCTCCAGTCCTGGAATGGTGCCTACCTACTGCAGTGTTAGGAGCTCTGCAAATGCATAAGAGAGCCAGGCACATGGGTCCATGCTTGTTCAGTGAGAACAGAAGATTTTATACCATTCATGGCTCTTAGCAATGAGTGGAAAGCAGTTACCAGGATCAATATCTGCCTGCCCTGCAGGCCAGGAGAGCTTGCAATGGGAGGTTCACGCATACTCATTACCCACAAGAAAGAGTCTCGTTATAGCAGAATCACTTTGTACCCACTTCATCTCTATTGATATAGGAATTTTCTTGTATGCAAGGGATATTCCTTTGACTGTGCAACAGGATCCACAGAGACTAGAACTGAATCAGCAACTGGAAATGAATTTATACAGTTCACCACCTATACACAAGCTCATTGACTTATGAATTTGTTTGCTCTTTGTAATTATTTGAAACTTTTTGTGCAAACAAACTGCAGTCTGTGGATTTCTCTGACTCCATTTTGTGCAAGTATGAGTATTTATTATTTGAACTGCATGTTTTGTTATGTAAACCACATAGTATTGTTTCCAGTCCCCGACTGGATAATCTAAACTACTACTGTCCACCATTTAATCACAAAATTAAATGTTTCAGCTACAGGTTTGAAATTAGTTTTCCCAAAAACATACATAGAAGCAGAATTTAGCTCATGTGAATGTTATCAAAAAGTGAAAAATAGGGGCCCAAACATGGTCAAAACCAGAATTAATGAACTATTCACAAATAATTTCTTCATCTCTACTACAGAGCTGGTAGGGAAAGGGAAGAAGAGAGCTCACTTTCTCGGTGTTAGGCCAAAAGCCCCAAGCTGTGTCAGTAATACAATCATACAGTTCTGGCAGTCATCACCAAATAGCACTGTTACATGTAACCTTCATGTTCTTTTTCCACAGACTATGTCTACACAGGGCCGGCTCTAGGCACCAGCAAAACAAGCTGGTGCTTGGGGCGGCACATTTTTAGGG